TTTTTCTATTCTTAAGGAGTGCTTTGTTTCTTCCAGGGTTCTTTCCATTCCAAATGAAACTGGAGATTGCCTTTTCTATCTTGTTGAAGAATAGGATTCGTATTTGTATTGGGATTGCATTGAACGTGTATATTGCCTTTGATAGTATTGCCATTTTGACAACATTGAGTCTTCCTGTCCATGAGCAAGGAATATTCTTCCACTTCTCCAGGTCTCTTTTTGTTTCTTGTAGTAATATTTTGTAATTTTCTTTAAATAGGTCCTTTGTGCTTCTAGTTATATTTACTCCCAAATATTTTATATTGTGATTAGCTATTGTGAAGGGTATTTTTTTTCTTAGCTCCTGCTCTGTATTCTCTTTGTCACTGTAGAGAAATCCAACTGATTTTTGTATGTTAATCTTGTATCCTGCTACTTTGCTGAGTTGGTCAACTTTTTTTTTTCAGCAAGGTGTAAAGAAACATTTAATAATTTGGACTAGTGGGGGGTGATACACACCAAGTGTGGGCTCCTTGGGCAATGGGGAAGCCCTAGGGGAGTCAGTGGGAGACAGTGGCAGCTGCAGGCACAGCACAACTGTGGGGAGTCAGGCATGGGACTTGAGCCCTACCACACTAGTAACAATGCCTGACCCAAATACCCAGGTCCTGCCCACCCCAACCCAGGCTTAGCTCACCTTCCAGCGGTTTCCACACTCATTGAAGACAACAAATGTGGTAATGGGCTCATCAGAGCTTCAAGTCTGCACCTGGGTGTAGGTGCAACTCTTCCTCCTGCACCTGTTGCAAGTGAAGAGGTCAGTGTTGGTTCCACCAGTACGGGCCACCTGGTGTTCACGAATGGCCTCCCTGGTCATGGCCTTTCGGATTTCCTTCAGCTTATCACTGGCCATCTCCTCCGAGGTCATCCCAGCGATGCACTGTGGTGCAATAGAGCCACAGAGCACGCTCCGCTGCAGCCCTGGGTTCTTGGCATCCTTCAAATTGGAGATGCGTCTTCTTACACGGTTCTTGTACTTGACATCTGTATGCCCCACGTTCCGGAAGATGTAGTCCTCTATCTGGGTGGACAGGTGCTCACAGTCTACGCCAATGGCCATGTGGTCCTGGTCTGTTTGCAGGGCAGTGGCCAACATTTGGCGGCACCTGCTGTGCACAGCATCGCAGGTAACAGGTGTTGGGGGAAACGTGGTCATCCGAGGGGTCACAGGAGTCCTGGGCATCTCCAGCCTCTTGTGGCTGTGGGACTTTGTCCTGGAGGCATCCTTCACCAGCGATGAGGCTAGGGGCTCATTCCTCAGGTCCCCAGCTTTAGTGTTTGAAACATCCAGGAGCTTCTTACAGGACTTGATGAGTGACTTGGCTAGGGCAATGACCTCTTCGTCTGAGCTCTGCTTTCGAAGAGCATTGACCGACATCCCAATATGAGTGGACTGCAGCAGGTGTAGGGTCATGGGCATGGTCTTCAGCTGCCGCAGGAAATCCACAACTTTCTCTTTCTAAAACAGCATAATACCATGTTATCAGAGGAGTTTCTGGGTAGAATTTCTAAGGAAAACATCCAAAGTAAGATATTTGATCCACACTGTGATATTAAACTGTTACTAGGATTTACAAAACAGTGAATATATTTTGTGGGAATACCATCCATGTACATCCTGTTATGAAGAATGAAAATTAATTTTCTGCTAACTATATAATAGTTGATGTGAAAACTTGACTAGGCATTGAAATGGAAACAATGTAAAAATTAATTTGCATATCTGAGCTTATGGAGAGTTTTCAGAGAATAGATAAATGATTTTGAGAGAATGAAATCTTTTAAAATCTTTATTACAGTTGGCAGAGAAAATCCAATGGGAACATCTGCAACCCCCAGGCTAAACGAGGAAAAAATTGATGAGACAAAAATCCAGACAGAAAACTCACCAGGCTCAAAAGTGACAAGTGCGTTCTCTTCTCCAATTGCAAGTAATCTATAGTTTGGTTTTGTTTTTAAAACATATATCATTTATCTGTATTGTTGCTGCTTTGTAGTTACTTCAGGACAAGTGTCACATTATTTTTATGACAAAAGTTATGTTAAGAAATGTTTTCATGCTAGTATCATGCCTTTTATTATTTTATATTGCAAACAGTACATGCTTATTAAAATGAGTTCATATCTTTATATTGTTTCCTCCAGAAAAATCATTTGAGAAAAGACAAACAAACAAACAAACAAACTAGTTGTCATTGAGACTAATCTGATTCATAGCTACTCTGAAAGACAGAAGGAGCTGTCTACAGGGTTTTCATGGCTGTAAGTCCTCACCTCATGGAGGTAGACTGTCTGCTTCCCTTCCAGGAGGTGGAGCAGGTGATGATTCAAACTATAGACCTTTTGATTAATAGCAAAATTCTTTAACTTCTATGCTACCAGAGCTCCTTGAGAAAAAGATAATGCTAAATTATTACAGCTTATTGGATTATCACTGAGAAAATATTTTATGAAGAGCAGTAAATTATTGTCAAAGTCTATGCAACAATTGTAAGAATCTTTTTCACTTTTCTGACATAGAAATTGAAGAATAAATATTCTAGACCTCAAAGTGTAAATTTCTCATTCCTCTTTCTATGTATTTGATTATTCTTCTGCCCTTGCATGTATTCATTTTTATCTGACCAAGAAGTATGTTATGATATCTGAAAAATCCTGTTCATTAGAAGTCAGCCAGTTTTGGGAAACATGAAATAGTGGGCTACACAGTCTCTCAATCATGTTTTTAAAATTCATCCTAGGTAAAAGATGAATACATTGTTATTCTAAAATATGATTTATAAAAATTACTCATGGGATGTTCTCCTTTTTTGTCAGCTGATAACTGACAATAAACAGTTTGAGTTGATAACTCTTTAGGAATTTCACATCAACTGTTGTTATTGTATGGTGTTGAGTCTGAACCAACTCACAGAGGATCCTTCAGGGGCTTTCAGAGGCTGTAAATCACAATGGGAGATTGACCAGCCTTCTTCTGCATTCTTGATATTGTTGCATATTAGTCTTTAGATTTTTGCATCATGGATTAGCCCCAGATCCCTGTTCCTAGACTGTGTCATATCTACAGCATTATGGTGAATAGTGCTGCACGAGAAACATGTGCTCACTTAACACTTGTCTTATAAAAATACTTTAATCTTTGTGTTAGGAAGTACTGGCACCTAAACAGCTTCAAGTAAAATTTGAGTTGGTGGAAATAGTGTGTTTGAAATCTCTAAAATGGACTTGTTTTTCTTTTCTTTTCTTTTTTTTTTGTTCTCCGAATAAGTGACAAAATCCTTAAATGAAAAGGTTCCATAAATTTTATGGAAATTTATTCTGGCAAGACATTTTATTTTAAAATAGTGCTTTTGCTAATTCCCCCCCCCAAATTGGCATATATAAGGTTTCGATTGAGGAAGATAAGTGATTTGCAAAAAAGGAAAGAATTAGTCCATATAATAGAAACTTTCTATAATCATTCTTTCATTTAATGAGTCATCAAGATATGCACTGTGTGATACTAAAAGGGAGTTCTAGTGAAGCAGTAGATAGGATTGTTAACACAAAGGGGGCATCTGTCTTTCTAGTAGCTCAAATCCATCAACTGCTCCACAGGGGAGAAAGATGAGCAGTCTTCCTTCCTGCTATTCACAGCCTTTGAAAACCCCCTAGAGGGTCAGCTGAGTCAGTTCCAAAACGGTGGCAATGAGAGTTTTATTGACACGAAATGGCACTCTTAAATAAAAAAATGACAAATAAAATTATCATCTAGTTGGAACTGACTCATAGTTCACACTTCAGTGGGTTGTTGTTCTTGTTGTTATATTCCATCAAGTCCTAACTAACTCATAGATGACCCTCCAGTGGGTTTTCAGAGGCTGTAAATATCAGGAGAAGAGGTTGCTCATCTATTTTCTCTGTAGCAGCTTAAAACAGTGTCTCTGTAGTATCTCTGTTTACCTTTGCGTTGGTGGCACAACTCCTTAACCACTAGGTCACCAGTGCTCTTCAGCAGGATTTTAGGAGCTCCAAATTCTATGGGAGGATATTGCCCATCTTTCTCTCACTGAGCTGTTAGTGAATTCAAACCACATGGCTGTGTGTTGGCAGAGCAATGTTCTGCCCAGTAGGCCACGAAAACTTCCTAAATGTCACTAGTGATGTGAAAAAACATACATGGTCTCTGACTTCCTGAAGCTTACACTCTAGTGGACCTGATACTACTGTCATTAGGGTTGCCATTCTAATTATTTATTTTCATATAATGGCAAACTTAGAAGACCTAGCCTATATATAAGTAGGCTGGCAAAAGCAGTCAGAAATGTACAACCAGGAGAGGATAACATCAATGAATGGTACCTCTTAAATATTAAGTTTTTCCAATAGGGTGAAGAAGAAAGCCTACTGACTGTGAAATAACATTTGGCAATGCCATCTCAGACAAGGATCTCATAATGGAAGTTTACAGAATACTACAGAGCCTGCACAAGAAAAAACCTGATAACCCAATTACAAAATAGGCAAAAGACATGGAAAGATTTTACACAGAGGGAGATGTCCAGATGGCCAACTAACACATGAAGAAACCCTCAAAATCACTAGCAGTCAGAGAGATGCAAATCAAAATCACAATGCAATATACCACCATCTCACCATAGTAGCAGTGGGAAAGTTTAATAGGACAGTAAGCAGTAAATGGTAGAGAGGATTTGGAACTCTCATACACTGTTGGTGGGATTTTAAAATGTTATACTCACTCTGGAAGACAGTTTGGGATATCCTCAAAAAGCTGGGCATAGAAATCCCATATGACCCTGCCATTCCACTGGTAAGAATATACGGTGAGGGAAATAGAACTGAAACACAAACAGAGATTTGTACATCATGTTCATAGCAGGACTATTCTCAATAGCAAGAAAATGGAAATAGCCCAAATGTCCATCATCAGATGAATGGAGAAATTGTAGTATATTCATGTAATGTTATATTATGCACCACGCAGGAGCTATGATTTTGAAAGATACTATTGTTGAGTTTGTGTCTCCATATGACTTTTGTAGTGTAGATGACTGACTATATGGAGGGGAAAGACTTTAAAAGTGAGGCTTGCTTATTGGCCTGTCCAAAAAGGGTTTTGGTATCTACCATTCCACAAGAGGATTGGCTAGTCACACAAATAAATTGAATAAATTTAGCTGCAAGGAACAAGAATTCTTCTGCCACCAGAAGCAATTATTCCCCTATCAGAAAAGATGGAATTCTTCACCTCGGCAGAGGAGAAAGAGACCTCCCTCAACCCATTGAAATGCAGAACACTCTTCAGGATGGCAGCAACAGCAATGGCTGAACTGGAGAATTTGATGTGAGATGGGGCTTTGGAGGGGGAGAAGCCAATGTTCGTAAGACTGAGAACTTTGTTGGACAATTAGAACCACAAGGCTAGAGCTGGAGGAGCATGCGTGCACATTTTGAGAGCTATTTTAACTGTATTATTCAACTGAATTCTAAACTTTGGACTGTCTTAATATGATTCTGTGTGGTCTGCGAGTTATTACATCAGATTTTGGACCCAGTCAAACAGTAAGATTTGTGTTGAGATGAATAAAAGGAGGCATGAGAGCATGGGGGACATGTCTGACCTCACAGGAATTGGTTTTGTGTTATTGACGCTGTGAGTAGTGATAGTTCTTACCTCTGATGTTTAAGAAGGTCAGAAATTGCACTCCCCATATCGCCCTTGCTCATTTTTAAATTTTTTTAAATTTTAAATAGCATTCAGTTTATTACAAATATTTAGTATTGGCTTCCCATATTTTCCCCCTTTTGTTTTTATCATAATTATGTTATCTAGATGAGCATACAAAAACAAACAAAAAACAAATTAAACATAACAAACTCAAAGAAATACTTTAAAAATCTCATATGATCAGAAGGATTCAGGTTGAATATTCCTTGAAAGTCTGTTTTAATTGTCCCATTGCCACAGTGCTTGTCAAAACCAGTTCTGATTTATCTCCTTTGTTGTTATGTCCTTTGCCAATCCCTATCACTCCTCCATGAGAGAGATTTCAC